TCCAGCTTTGTTTTGTAGCTGCCTTGTAGCTGTTTCGCAGCCGATTTTGTTGGAAGCCATCTCTTCCCATGATAAAAAAAACTCTGATGTGAACAGGTAAAATATCTTTATAATTGGGTATTTTATAGATATTAATAAATTGATTGTTGCTGACTGAAATTCTTAATGTTCTCGATTTTGTTTGGCATTTTACGTATTCAAATTTCAGGCAGTGCCTACATGTCACTGTCTTTTGGGTTTATTACATTACATTAATCCTGATTGTGAATTTTGAGCTGCCATTTTTTTTATACTCCGACCACCACAAAGGCCTAAGGCCTAAACACCCATGGGGTACCGTGAGACCATAGGGGGGTACAGGGTAAAGGGGGAACGCCACACGGACTCTGGCGATGGAACACGTGTACATGCAACATGCACACATTCTGGCCCCGCCTACGAGATCCGCCGGGTGTTACCTCGGCGTTCGACAGAGACCGTCTACCACCTACGGACAACCACAACATCTATCAAGGGATACATTTCTGAGGGTGTATCACTTTTGTAAATTTTTATCTTTTCTTGCCCTTGCAGAAAGAAAAGTAGTTACATGGATTTTTCTTCAAGTGTCGAGCCTTCCCCCCCTCTCTAGGGTTTCTTTATAGGGTAAATTCTGGAGACGAGGTAAGCAACCCCTACCTTGTGACGTTCCTTACGTCACTGCTCGCTACTGGCCACTGGTTTTCCACATGACCGTTTGTGAGCTGAGGACATCTCAGCTGTACCTAGAGCTGTAACTGGAAGAAGACCATTATCCAGATAAGACCGTTGTCCAGATAAGTTTAGGTTTAGGCGTTAAAATATTTGTAAAACCTATTTGTAAAGCCTTCGTACGTGTACCATGGTAAACGTTTTGCAGGGTTAATTATCACGGTCTAATAATTTTATTGTCAGGTAGTTTTGAATAATATCCTTTCTTTTAACTGGCACTCCAGTGGTGGAGCATATGTGCTGCTTGTTTTGATAATATATTGTGATTCTTTTTTTTTAATATATTGCTTTATTTGGCTCTCTGTGTACAATTAATTAGGTTTCATCATTAGTATTAGATTCTTTTCTTTCTGTGGTCGTCAGGCAAAACAAAATCCGACTAACAACTCGGGGATTTGTGGATTAATCCGTCTTACTCTCCGCTTTATTGAGCTAGTGCCTAAATTTGCACGCCGCTTGACAGCTGTTTTGCACTGACTGGTCCTTAGATTTCATTTATACTGATTTATTAATTCATTAATTAATTGATAAAAAATGAAAGGGGAATCACACCACCATTTCCTCTTATTTATAAAAAAAGGCGTGGCACACAATTGCAATAATAATCTGGACAGTTTGAGTGTTTTTATCCAGCTTAAAAATATGCGAATACATCGACGGATTCTCATTATGAGGCTTGAAAAAAATTCAATGAAGAAAAAAATCCTGTTATTCGCTTAGGCCCGTATCGTCAGTCGTCCCTACAATTGTAGGGCGCGTTTATGGCCTCCTTGATTGTCATACTCCTTTCTCTCCTTCAAAAATTACATAGATTACACTTGTCCCGTGTTAGCGTCAGCGCTCTCCTATTGTGAAGAAATGTTTTTTTTTTAAATTGTAGGAAATTTCAGGCTGATAAAACATGATATAACCCAAAAGCAGGCACAATTTGATGCAAATAGATGTTTGTGACATAACCTCAAAATAGACCGCTAACACGGAGAAGTAGAAAACTATGACAATCAAGGAGGCCATAAAGGCGCCCTACAATTGTAGGGACGACTGACGATACGGGCCTTAGAAATAGCGTTAGCAAAAACGGAGTTACAAAGATTTTCACAGAGACTGTCGTTATTTGACTGGCTTCTATACAATGCTTTACTTACTTTTGTTTAACATTTTCACATGATTTTGCATGTTGTCTTCACCCTATCATTCTTATTATACACTGGAACCAAATTTGTCTGACGGCTTGAGAGCAATGTGTACGAGAGAGAGGTGTGCATAGGCACATATGTTAGAAAGAGAAAGCGAAGCTCATCACTGCGTCGCCTAGCAACGCTAATGTGGCAATTGCCACACCGCCAATATGTTACACCAGGTCCTTGATATGCATGTCGAAAATATGCGTTAGTTTATTCTCAACGCTCAAAAAATGGTTTTATTTTGAGCGTACACACTTTTGAATTGTTCACTGTGTCGAACCTGCTTAGGATCGATTTCGGATCGGCCCTAACGGTGCTCCATTTTAGGCCGAAATGAAAGTTCATAATCGCCACAAATTCGGCAACACCGCATTTCGTTCATTTCAAGGCAAGGTTCTTACCTCCATGATCATAGATGAGCGACTTTGGTCAGTACCCTCTAGCGTTCTTTGGGGAGTGTGCTCCTGCTTGGAAATTGTTTTCACCTGCGTACACGCAGGCAGCGATAAGTAGTATTACGTAATGGAATTTGTTTGCATTTTCCGACCGCTCGCTGTCGAAAAATATAACAATAGCTGCTGCGTTGATTTTATCATCATCCGTCCTAAATTAACATTCCAGCGGTGACTTCCTATGCCAATAAGCATCAAATCACAGAAAATAGTCTTCTTTATAAACCTTATTATTTATCTAAGGATAACGTCATCGTTCATTCTGGAGTGTATGAAAGCATTACTAGACGACGTTTCAGAAAAATGTTGGGTCTCGGTGGCAACCAGATATTCTTACAAAGCTGGGGTCCTGTTTCTATGAAAAGTCAGTTGTGGGTTTTTGTAAATATTTCCTTTGATATAAAGAACACATATAGTTATCCTTAGTACTGGACTAGCCTCAACATTGTAAACTAATTTTTTTGTGACGGCTTGATTTGGCAAAATTTTCAGTCAACATCAACATCAGAACTTTTGCATGCAGCGGAATAGCAGGAAGTCTAGGTTTATTTAGGTTGCACGAATCTAAAAAAACTATCTGAAAAGAGCATGTCGCAGAACTATTTCAGTTTTTCATTATGAAGTCCCTATACAGGACCGTAACATTTTTCCAATATCTAGGTGCGGAGTCACCTTTGAAGACAACACGTTTTTAAATTAATACTTTAGAAGATTGTGTTCCTCATCTTGTAAATCCAATTTAGCCACGTACAAACGTAATGTTCACATTACCATTCGCAAATACGCAATCTGTAGGATATGACCATTAAATCAAGCACAACAAGGTATAGTAAATCCGTACGTGTAGCATTTAACATTTATTAGAGCTGCGCTAGTCACATTTTTTATACGAGTTAGTGAGGTAGGATATTTACACACTTATCTCGATGGTTCATCTTATAGACCAGGGGCTAGGGTTTTAGACATAACGATACCATATTAAATGAAAAAATGTTAAATAAAGTGTTTTCTAGTTATTGCAAATCAGATCAAAGCGATTTAGCATTGAGAGACAAAAATCGATAACCTAATAATCAATTTTGCTTTTCAATATAAATAGATTTTAGAAGAAAACATAATGAACTTTTTTGGAAAATTTAATTTTTTTATTATCTATTCTCTTGCCAATAGTGCGAAAAATGCTTGAAAATACTATACTTTGAAGTTGAGTCATTAATTTTCAGATAATGATTGTAGAAGGAAGATAAACCAAAATATGTGTGTAAAAATAAAAAAAAAATAAAAAAAAATGTTACCTTGTTTTATAAAGTATCCTCCCGACAAGTATTTCAGTGCGGACCTGTATTTGATCGTGCGGTCTTGGAGCACCGGCATGCTCTCCCCTGTGAGTTCTTAAGTCACCTGATTCACGAGCCCTTTGTACTACATTAACAAAGGCACGAGGGGTTGGTTGCACTCGATTGGGAAACCGATCCGCATAAATCCGTGATGCCGCGTAAATAAGAATCATGTCCACAAGTTCAGCATTTTCATGTGCCATTTTTGATTTCGTTTGAGCCACGCAACAGACACCACTATTCACTCACGCGTTACCGACTGACACTGACTGTATACAACTGAATAAAATAATTGTAAAAACATCGTTCCAAATTCTTTCGCTTTTTTGTTTCCGATGCGATGAACCGATAAGGCGGATTATATCCGTTGTTGCCAAACACGAGCACATAATATTATTATTGAGACAAGGCGGTACTCAAACTTCCAAAGGGCTATAACTTTGTTACTTTAATTTTACCAGAAAAATCGTAGAGGAAAAAACATTTCTTTTGATCAGATCTACTCACTGTTAAAATAAATGACTCAACTTCGAAGTCACCCTGTATATGTATTGACGTATATCCTACATAAGAGAACAATTTAAAGGCATTCAGCATTATGCAGGGTATTCCAAACTTAAGGTACTTATCAAAGTAGTAAATCAACCCTTACTAAAGGGTGGGCCAAAACTGGGTTCTTTTTAAGTTGGTATTATTTTGACACTTGATAACACTACTATGCTCAACATTTTGACATATATCGTCGCTGTTCTGACAAATGGACGTAAGCGCCAATAACATAATTTTACAGTAGAGCGATTTGAGGAAAATATGTATCTTAGATGAGTTGATGATTCTGTAACTAGCAACGATATTTTTTTACAATTTTGTATCAAAGTGAATCATCAGGGACACTTTCAATCTGTCATAACGTGATTGCAAAGCTCGCACGATATTGTCCTAAAAAATGGCCACTTTGGACATACGCCCGTTCGTCAGAGTTACTTTACAGAGGTATGTCACTCACGCCCTTTTTCATTAGTAATTTTAAACATACACAACGGTTCCTATCATTAACGACATTTTTATTTAAACAAAGAAAACTTCAAAATATAGAAATTAAACAGAGGATGTATGCAAATTATAAAAAACTGAGGTGTTTAATGATGCGGGAGGTTCTTGAAGTATTGTTGAAACGTTAGATCTCGCACTATGGGTGTAGGTCCAGTACATAGCTCAACAAGGTTTTCGTATTTCAGGATGTCTAATTTAATTGGACCATTATTAAGTCTACGTACCGACTGTTTCAGGACTTCAAGAGTGTTTCTTTTCAGAGATAATATGTTATACTGATCAGCAAGATGGCTGGCTTTTAGAAACAGTTGTGGAACATCTTTCTTTACCATTGCTTCCTTGATTGCGGTGAAATTAACATTTTCCCCCGTGTCAAATTTTCTCAGTTGTCGAATGGGGAGTTGTTCAGCCACAAACTTGTAATCCAGAAAGTCAGCATTATCCATAGGGATGACAGTGTATGGAGAATTCCGTCTTGCCAATTTAAGAATACTAGGAAGCTGAGCAGGAATAAAGACATCTCCTGCTAAGGCTAAAGCTATCGAAAAAACTGTGGGCAGAGTCCGCTTTGGCCGTGATTTGTTTCGAAGAAAGATAATGATACTTTTTTAATGTTTTTGGTATTGGTTATGGTGTGCAGCAACATGGCTAAAACAATCCAAACAAACAACACCAGAGCGTAAAGTCTGAGTTTTATGTACAGTGTTGAGGTTTTTTGAATACACGACGTTAGTTGTACCGTCGTCCCACTTGACTAACACATCCGTGCTGCTTTGGTTAAGTTACTGCAATAAAAACAAACAGTTGTAATAACCATAGCAAAAGTTAACCCTAACCAACACAAAATCTATGGTTAGTTTGAAATAGTTTGCCTCATTTCGCGGACGTCATCTCAATAATTGACAGGCAGCGAAGGTTTTCTCGCCTCGACTTCGTTCATAACCTCATATTTCAACTATAAATGTCAGAAGCACCAAACCACGACGCATGTTTATCTCAAATAATATATTACTTTAAGTCATCAAAAATGTGCTTACCTTAAGTTTAGACTTTCAACTTTCACTTAAAGATACACCTCACCATCTGTTATGATAACTGGGGATACCTAGACGTTCTAGAAAACCCGTAAACATGCAGGAGATGGCGCAACAGTATCGGTTATCACCATAGCCACCTAGAACTACGTTAGATATAGGTGGCTATGGTTATCACAGTTACATACTACGGGCGAAAGCGACACTGAAGCGCAATAGATGATGTGACGAACAGGCGTATGTCCATTTATGGATTTACGCCTCTTAGCCAGATTCCCTATCTTCCATTGATGTCGCTTCCGTCCTTACTGACTATGATGTATACTCCGTGGTATGAGCGATGGAGATACGTCCATTTGTCAGAACATAGGTATACCCCTCGAGAGTTTCTCAGTGGTTTATCTCCTATTTAGAGATTGTGTCGCTTACGCCCATTTGTCAGATCAGCGACGATATATTGTGTCAAACTTCCGCTGTGAGCAATGGATCGTTTTAATCTTGATCAAAGGTGGAAAATATTGAAGAACTGACTGAAGCTCCGTCCGCGACTGGTATACGAAAATTCGTGAAGATGGTTCGTGGAACTGGCTTGCTTATAGGGATAACAGAAGGTATGAGCGTTTTGACCCGTACGTACAGCCGAAAACATTGCTGCTTTTGCCAAGAGTCTGCGTGAAAGCGCAAGAATTTTAACTCGTCACAGAGCACAACAAGTGGTGATCAGTCGTACTTCTGTGTGGAGAATATTGCATAGCGACCTGGGATTATGTCCTTACAAAATGCAACTTGTGGAAGAGTTGAAACAAAATGACCATCCGCTTTGATATCGTTCCTCTGTGTGGACTTAAATCGATTGGAACCGGATGTCAATTTTGGTCGCCAAATCATCTTTTCGGACGAAGCCCATTTCCATCTGGGAGGTTACGTTAACAAGCAGAACTGTAGGATTTGAGGTTCTGCAAATCCACATGTCGTCATACAAAAACCAATGCACCCAAAAGGGTAACTGTTTAGTGTGTGTTTTGGAGTGGTAGGATTATTGGTCCCTAATTTTTTCAAATGAAAAGGGTAAACAGAGAACGCTATAGAGACATGTTTAGGGGTATTTTACGGCCACTATTAGACGACATGCACTTGCACAATTTCTGGTTCCAGCAGGTTGGCGCAACATGCCGCACCAGCCGTGAAAGAATCGATCTTTTACACACTAAGTTCGGTCATCGCGTTATCAGCCGTTTTGGAGACGTTCATTGGCCACCCCGCAGCTGTACTTTGACGCCCATGGAATAGTTCCTATGGGGACTGTTAACGACCGCTGAAACAATTGATGTCCTTAAGGAAAATATCCGTCGAGCTATTGTTTAAATAGACCCACAATCTATCGAAAATGTGCTTCAAAATTGGGTTAAGAGGATGGACTACTGCCAGGCCAGCCACGGCAGCCATTTAACTGAAATTGTTTTTCATAAATAATCGGAGGGTGTATTATTTTGAATAAATTATCGAGTATTACATATTAATAAAGAGTGTAGTTTTAACACCAATTTAAAGAAGAAACCAACGGATAGTCCACCCTTTATATTTTTCGTTGTTATTTACTGAGCTATATGCTTGAGAGATGTTGAAACGCGTGTTCTTCTCGTTTTATTGCCAGTAAATATATTTTTGAATACCTCCATTACTTCTTCCGGATAATTAAAAACGGATAACACAGTTACACACATGTATTAATTTATGTAGCTGCTTTAATAAAAATCAATTATTATTATTAAGAAAATCGAAACTCAAAAGTATATATTAAAATTCAATAGGCAGCCATTTTCCGAAGAGAGGCCTACGAAAATGAATTTCGCCAAGTCATATAACATCTAAAACAAAAATGTAATAGGTACCTAGGTTTGACAGTTTTGTTTAAGCATAACTGGAGATCAAAATTTTTATATGACCATGGTATTTCAAAACTTTTGAGACATTTCAAAGTACATTTTTTTGCTATAAGAGCTCGTTCAGGATTTTGCTAAATAGTGGGATATTAACACTATCTCTTAGATTATAATATTTCTAAGAATAGTGTCTACCGCATAAACCATGAACCGTATTTATGGGATGCCCAGCTTCGTAAATGTGCAAATGGCACCTCACTAAATTATTTTCCCATTCACCTGCATTATGCAACTTAATTAATGCCTATATCCAGCTTTTTACATATAAATAAATGAAGTGTGGAGATCCCGCTGATTCACAATCTTTATTTCTATATAGGTACTCGATTGAAAGAATCGATGAAAATTAAAACAACATGTGAATTATTTGTAGCACGTGACAGAATCACGAGCTATGGTTTAAGAGCTAGTTGTGTGACGCTGCAGTAAGAGCTCGAACGCACGTAAAGTCTTGATTGATTTTGAATGAGTCGTCAGACAAGATGCTGATACGGCGTAATGCCGGTTACAGTCTTTTCAGAAAGGTCCTACCTCCTACTCATCCTTTGAGCGGGTCAAGTTGGCAAGTTAAATTTAAATAGAATAAAAGCGTAAATACTACATCTTAGCGTAGAAGTGGCTGTTGATAACATAATGATGGCGACTGGGCATTTTGGAACATTTATTTAAATGGAATGCGTGACCATTCTGAAGCTCCACACTCTAGAATTCAACATGCACATCTTTCAAAATGGGGCACCGGAAAGTTATCAAGCGTAAGCTTTTTTGTATACTCAATCGATCAATAACTTATCATCAAAATGTCGTAGTATGTTATGTCGGTCTTCTTCTTTTGGAAGAGTCTATATGAATATGCAATAACATATGAAAAATTCATTTTAAAAATATTTCTCAGATTTTATTATATATTGCGACGCAATGAATAATTCTTGTTCCCCGGTCTTCAATTGTCGCAAGGACATTTGCTCTAATATGTACTGATGCAGACGACCCCTTCGCATAACTCTTCAATTTTCAATTGTCAAATCCAGGTCCCGCTCTTCAAAATTTCATACTTGTCATACGGGCATTGGTTTTCTCAAAAACACTGATGCAGACGCTCCCTTCCTCCACCTTAAGGTGGTGTTTCTATATTCTAGGGTCATAACTTAAAGGAAATAGTATCACACGGCCCCCGTTCCAATTAAAAATGTTTTACTGCTACTTTTCAGCTTGCTAACTTGATCCGTTTAAAAGATAAGTAGATGGAACCTTTTTGAAAAGCACTGTATAATAGTAATAATGATCAGCAAATTATTCGGAAGTTCCTATGGACTACATGTCTGATTGTAAATAAATAAAGAATTAAGGCGTGTTCGAGCTCTAAGAGCTTGGCTATGACTCGATTCATTAAAAAGGAATAGATTAGGAGTGCATCCCACCCCATGAAAGTGTAGAAGTGTAGAGAACAACGACCAGAGAGACAGATCGAAGAAAAGTTCAGCAACTCTCATTTAAGCCAAAATTGCTTAACTTCGCTATCCGGGGATCAGATGAACAATTCAAGCGCAATGGGTGACTTTGGTATTGTTTTACCTCACACGCCTACCGGCAATTTGTTGACGCTAGGATAATATAGGACACATTCAACCCGATAACTCTACGCAAATATTAGACATATTTCACTCATCATAGGTTTCCCCGAACATTTACCCTTGAAACTTGGCACGATAGAAAGGTGTTTTTGACAAGCGTCCCTGCTTCTGCTGACTTCAACAGCCGGGGCGTGCCGGTGTTTGTTTGTGTCCTGCTTGACTAGTGGGCTCTCTGCAGTGTGTGGTGCAACATGCTTTCTGATATTGAGGAAAGGCGATGCGACGTTGCCAGAAATACGATACTATGCGTAGGGATGGGAAAGGATGCTATGACCTAATTATATGGACTTGATCCGTTTAATTTCACTGTTATACATGTTCGTAACTAACTTTTTATTAAAGAGTTCAACGATTATATAGTGCTTTGGTCCATTCAATCTAAGATAGCCAACGACAGACAGCTGTTTCGTGCTTTTTAGAAACTCATCAGCACGGTCTAGGCCTGGTCTCTGGGACAACGAACAAAAGCATAGCCACTAACCTCTATCCAGGCTATAAGATCTTTGGAGCTGTCTAATTTCGATAAGGTCTCACTTGTGCTTAACACAATCCCTTATGCACTGATGACGTCCATGCGAGAGAAGTGTAGAGTCAACCTACTTGACGCCTTTTTTATCACGCGGCCAACGTCAAAATTTATTTGTCTTATTAGTGTTGTCATAGACGTTTCCTAGATTCAAACTTTAAAGTTTGAGGAAAAATGTTCTATGTATTATTTTTGTTATTATATTGTTATTGAATATGAAACAAGAGTAGAACCGTAGCTGTAGAACTCATAAAAATACAGCAAGTTACGAGATAATGTAAAAACTACAACATGAATTTGAATTAAATCAACTGCCAAAACTCTATTTGAAGGTAGTCCATTCCATGGGTCAATCAGTTTTCACTAAAAAAAAATATCCTGCAGTG